CAATTCTAGAATTGGAACCGAACCGAATTGGAATTGGTGCATGCCTACTTTTGTGCATTTTGAGACCTTTTTCAGGCGATGTGTTGTTAGAAAGCTACGATTTGGTTCAAAACTGATGTCAGATTCGGAATCAGCGCTAAAAACTGAGTCGATTTATATATGGTGTGAATAATTTTGAGAATAATATTTTTTTTGAAAAAACCCCTGTATCCCCCCTCAGGGATGGTCTGATCAATAATGAGAAATTTTTTTATAAGTCAGCAATGGTACAACCGATTGAGCTCATCTTCGAACTCGACCGAGATATCAATGAGACTAAACTCTGTAGAAAATTTCAGCTCAGTCTGATTCTCCTTTCGAAAGTTATCGTGTAAACGGCCGGACGGACACACTGACCGATTCTAGTAGTGTACTCACTTTTTGAGTACATAAAAATGATTAAATCCATAATTTTTTTCTCTCAGAAATAGCTCAAATATTTTATACTAGAAATAATATTCTTCCTTGTAGAACAATATTCAAGATATAGAATAACATACAATAAAGAAACAAGTAATATTTAATAATTATATACAAAACATTAAAATTTTTGAGTATAGAATAAAAAATAAGTACATATATCAATTTGTGATTGTTGTTGGTATTATTTCTATTGTTTCAATTGATTTCGTATCATTAACAACAATAAGAAATTCTTCAAATGGATGAGCACATGTTTTATCAACCTAAAATGAGAAAATGTTTTATATAATTATATTTTCTTATAGAGATATAGATATTATCTTACTTCTAAATCTTTTTTCTCTTTTTTTTTCTGTTTTTCTAAATGTTGATTATAACGAAAGAAAACAACAACAACAATTATAGTTACAATAGCAAAAATAATAACAACAGAAAATATAAATTTAGCAAGGAAAGTTACATCCGTCGCAATTGGTTTAGCCGGTTGGCAACAAATATTATCGTTGAATGATGTAGAAATAACATTTTGACTATAAGATTGTGGTGCTGTAAGACGAATATTATCTTCATCATAATATATAGCTGTTTCATTATCAAATGACATCTGCTATTTAAAGAAAAATTTTGTTTAAAAATCGATTTATCAGATTTAATAAAAAAAAGAAAAATTAACCTGAGATAATGGTAAAGACATATGATACGTTCGACAAACAAGTTATTTATGTTAGAGTAGAAGAAAAGCAACAACAAGAAGAACAGAACAAAAAAATATTTGCTGTTCTTTTTGCATTTCCGCGTTATATCTATTTATATATAAGTACTTCGTGCAATGTGAAACATAAATAAAAAGAAGATTCTTTTTGCATTCTTTTAAATAGAACTTATAGATATCAATGATTTATTTATAAATTAAAGTAGAATATTTACATCGGTAAATTTTCTATTTATGTAAATTTGATACAAGATATTTTAACCGAATTATATTTAGAAAAATTATTATGAGAAAAATCTTTACTAAATATACTTGTTAAATTTGTTCCAAAACTATCTGTACATCTCTAAAAGATATGGTAATACATAGTTATAAAGTCATATGCACTGATACAATTCACTCATACATTGGCTGCGATTTCTTTACTAGACTAAAGGTTTCAACTGTAGTAAAATACATTACATTTCATAAATACTCTTACAATTTAAATATGACAATATTGTAAAATTCAATAAAAAAAAGAAAAATATTGGCGCGTCTAAATCAATATTATTATATGAACAGTAGTAGAATTGAAAAAGAAGAAGAAAAAAGACAGGCGCGATAGTTAAAATTTTCGTATCTGAGCAATTTTATCTTCTCTTCATATTCGTTTATCAATCATTTCAATATTTTTATTATTAATCGAATAAAATGACAACAGCTATTTGTTCATATGAAAATATTCGTCAAATAACATCATGTACATTATGTAATCGAACATTTAAAGATCCTCGAATATTACCATGTGGTCATACATTTTGTATCGATTGTATACGAAATACAATGATTGATACAACTGTTATGGCATGTCCTAATTGTTCGTTTCTTTAATATTCTGTTGTATTTTAGTTTTATTATCTATATTTAAAAAAGGTTTAGCTAAACATACTATAGTTAATGTTGATTTATTATCACAAAATGTTGCTTTAATGCAATTATTACATATACGAAAAATTGATATTGTACAAAATAAACAATGTGCAATATGTAATGTTCAACCATCTATAACATCTTGTGCACATTGTTCACGACAAGCATGTGTTTCTTGTTTGGAAATTCACCGACAAGAAGTTATTAGTGATATAACACGTGAAACAATGGAAATTGAACGAATGAGTGATGATTTAAAATCAGCACTTAATCAAACATCAAATGATTTCCGTGATCAATGTGATGAAACATTTCAACAAGCTAATAAACGGTATTATTTTTTCAGTTTTACGCAGTGTTTTATCCAGCTTTTTTCGTCCGAGGGTGCGAAATTAACTGCCGGGGGGGG